TCTTCCCATTTTTGTGAGAGTCTGTTAAGTAATTTACTTATTTATTTATTTATTTTTGCTTCTGCTTCAATTGGGCTGTCTAGATTTCCTGACTTTGTGGATTAAACTTCTATGGTAGTAGGCGGGTCTTTTTATTTATTTAGTTAGTTAGTCAGTTAGTTATTTATTTCCCTTTACTTTTCTTTCTGGGCCTGCCTCTGATGATATCAGTTGTTTACCCTGTGTGGGCTTGGGTCGTTTGTTTGAGCCTTCCAGGAGTCTACGGTCTGTGTTTGACTCCTGCTTGGGCAGCTCTGTGACCCCTTTGGCCAGGGATGGACTATTTCTGTGGATCGTTCTGCACTCCCACGCGGGCTCCTTGAACACGCACCCTGGCCCGGCAGGATCCCCTAGCCACCTAGGTTTGTGCGTGCTTGCCCCAGCCCAGGGGGCTTACTCATGACCTGGCGTACTTGTGTGGCCCCCCCAGGCCGGCAGGTACCCCGGCACTGGTCAGTTTAGGGTCTTCTATTGTGTGCTTTCCCGGCTTTTGGCTCTTTGGGTGCATTGCCTGCCCTCACCAAATGGAGACTACAGAAATGGGAGGAAGTCAGCTCCAGGACTCTCCGGTTAATCCTGTCTCTGGTCTCTCCTCTAGGGACTCTGGGCAGCTCTGTGACCCTTTTGGCCCGGGATGCACTATTTCTGCGGCCCCCTTTGCACTCGCGGCCCGCCTATGTCGATTTACACCTGTGCTTGCCATCTGTGCACTCCCTCCCAGGCCGCATTGGTGCCAACCTGTGGGAGGTCTTGCCAGCCCGCGCGAGCCCTCTCCAGGCCGCGCGGGCCCACACACGCACTCGCCAACCCTTACCAGCCACTTGGCGCAAGTATGCGCACCTGCACTGGGTGTTTTTGGCCTCTCTATTGTGTGCTTTTCAGCTTTTGGCTCTTTGGGGATGTGTCCTTTTCCTGCGCAATGGAGACTAGGGAAAGGAGAAGGAGTCAGGACTCCCCAGTTCCTCCTCCCGTTCTTTCCCCAACGCCTCAGTCTCCAGTCTTTCCTCAAGGCTCTTCCAGCCAGTCTGCACTTAGCCCCCCAGCTCACCCACCCACAAGCTGTGTGCAGAGCGCACAAAAGGCAGGTTAATTAATTCCCTTATGCCTGAGCGAGACGGTAGCTGCAGAGTGGGAGGTGCGTTATCACCGGGGCTCCACTGGCCAGTGTCTCAGTTCTCTTCACAAAGTTTTCCTCACCAGTCTTTTCCCAGGCACCAGCCCACCCTGCTGCCGCCTCTGCCCAGAGATCAAGGAGGGTGGCTGCCACTGCAAATTTTTGCGCTGGCCCTTTAAATGTCTCTTTGCATCCCCAGCCACCTGTCTCTGGCAGAGAGCACCCCTAAGCTTTTCGGGGTTGCGTTTTGTTTGTATTTTCCTGGTTTTAGCTGCTGTAGTTTAGGGGTCCCTGTTTATGATTCAGACCCCGTTCTTCTCGGGGGGACGCTAACTGGCCGTTTCAATGTCCCTCTGGTGCCACTGCCCGTGGGCACCCAGCCCACCCTCTCGAGCCTCCACCACGCTTCTCACCCGTTGGGATGGGTGAGAGTTGAATCCACAGTCTGTCTGCAGCTCCAAGGCTCCTCTCCCACAGTAGTTCCATTGTTTTCCAGGTGATTACTACATTATTTAGTTGCAATTCCAGTTTGGTCTTGGGAGGAGGTTGTCAGCGTGACTCCCATTCACTCCTCCGCCATCTTTTCTCTCTCCTTGTACATATAAGTTCTTTGGCTTCTTCATTTCCTATACTATTCTTAACCTCCCTCTGTCTTATTTTGTACCTACCGATTATGCTTCTTATTCCCTGCACCTTTTTCCCCATTCTCCCCTTTTCCCCTCCCTTCTGATAACTCTCCATGTGAATGTCATTTCTATGACTCTGTTCTTGTTCTAATTGTTTGCCTAGTTTGTTTTTGTTTTTGTTTTAGGTTCAGTTGTTGATAGTTGTGAGTTTTCTGTCATTTTACTCATAGTTTTGTCATTTTCTCTTAGTTTTCATTTTCTTCTTTTTCTTAGATAAGCCTCTTTAACATTTCATACAGTAAGGGCTTGGTGATGATGAACTCTTTTAACTTTACTTTCTCTGGGAGTCATTTTGTCTGCGCTTCCATTCTAAATGATAGCTGTGCTGTATAGAGTCATCTTGGGTGTAGGTCCTTGCCTTTCATGACTTTGAATATTTCTTGCCAGTCCCGTCTTGCCTGCAAGATTTCTTTTGAGAAATCAGCTGACACTCCTATGGAAACTCCTTTGTAGGAAGCTCAGAGGTTTGGGACTCTCTGAGCTTCCTGGACTTGTATGTCTATTTCCTTTGCCAGATTGGGGACGTTCTCCTTCATTATTTTTTCAAATAAGTTTTCTATTTCTTGCTCTTCCTTCTCTTCTTCTGGCACCCCTGTGACTCAGATGTGCGTATGTTTAAAGTTGTCCCAGACGTTCCTAAGCGTCTCCTCATTTTTTTGAATTCTTGTTTCTTCTTTTTGTTCTGGGTGAATATTTATTTCTTCTTTTTGTTCTAAATTGTTGACTTGTGTCCAGGCTTCCTTCCCTTCACTGTTTGTTGCCTGTATATCTTTATTTCACTTGGTATAACCTTCACTTCTTCCTTTATTTTACGGTCATACTCAATCATTTCTGTGAGCATCCTGATCACTAGAGTTTTGAACTGTGCATCTCGTAGGTTGGCTCTCTCTTTGTCACTTAGTTCTTTTTCTGGAGTTTTGATCTGTTCTTTAATTTGGGCCATATTTCTTTGTCTCCTTAATTTGTCGGAGCACATGTTAAGTTGTAAGACTCAGAGCTTTAGGTATTCCCCAGGATGGGGCAACCTGCTTTGTCACATTGTAACACTCTGTATGAGGGAGGGGTCAGAGGGAACAATGCGGCTTGCTCCACTTTCAGCCTGCTTTCAGTCACTTCCCCCACTTCCTACAAGCAACTGGCGCCCTTCCAGCTGCTGCCTTGGTGCTGAATCCTCAAGTAGGTTGGCTCATATTCATTCAAGGACCCCATGGGCCCCACAGACTCTCCGCAGAGATCGGCAGTTTCTTCCACTGCAGTCCCCACAGGTTTTTACAGTTAGAGGTTATAAGGCCTTATTTTCTAGCACTGGAACCCTGGGTTGCTTGGTCTGTCCTGGGGCTGGAACTGCTTGCTACTTAGTTGTCCCTCCTGGTTTTTTTCTGTATGTGAATGTGAGACTTCCCCTTCTGCTGGCTGCCTTGCTGCGTGTCCTCTCTGCCTGGCTGCCTATCTCTGCCCCTCCTGCCTGTCTGGATGAATGTTTCTTCTTTAACTCCTTGGTTGTTGGACTTACATACAGTTCAGTTTCCTGGCAGTTCTATTTGTTTTTTGTTTTTAGATTGGTTGTTATCCTTATGATTGTGTGAGGAGGTGAAGGGTGTCTATGTCTCCTACTTGGCCAGAAGTCTGTATTCTGTATTTTTAAATTATTGATACATTTTAAAAAGACTTATTCTGAAGAAATACATTTTTGTAGGTGGATTGGATTTGGGAGCCATGCTGACTCCAGTTTTAATTATTTGGCCTTTTTCCACAAGTGACCTTAAAAAAGATTCTTGACATTCTAATGTCTCAGTTTTCCTTTTGGTAAATCAGCAACTAAAATTCTAAGCTTGTAGGATGGTTGTACAGTTTCAAGTGCCCAGCAAATGCCTTCAGTAGAAGAAGGGTTCCAGAAATATATTTATCAGATAATTTAGTGCAGTCTATAATCCTGATGCCTACATGCTGTCATAGAGATGGGAGGTGTCACCCATATCAGTGGTTTGTAATGGAGTTTTGTGGAGGGAGGCCAAATGATTTTTGTCCTTTTATAATATCAAACATGAATAAGTTGATTATAATATAATAGGATAACAGTAGGCTTTCAGTTTTTATAAATTCTATTTTGTTTATTAAAAAAATTACCAGCTCCTCTGTAATAATGATTTAATATCCCTTTTAAAAGTAAATATGGCTAGTGACAATTAGCTTAAAAACTACCTACTCTTCATTGGCAAATTATTACTTACTGATTTTTTCATTTTTAATTTTTAAAATTTGAAAAATATTTCTGTTTATATAAAGCTAATAGGATAATGGATGCAGTTGACATATTTTAGATTTAGGATATTACTATTAAGCATACTAGCTCACTTGTTATAGTAATGGGGCTTACATTCAAGTAAAGTACTACATTATTCAAACAGGACACTTTTATCACCTTAACCGGTAAATCCTGGTTATACTGAATTACTATGCAGTATTAAATGGCTACTTGAAAGAGTCCAGGCATATATTGTCATGGTGTTGTCCACTGGCTAATGAATAATGGAGGAACTTGATACATAGGGAATAATTATTTAATTAAAATGCATTGATTGCAGTTTATCATACGTACAGAGATTTCTGTTTTTAATTAATCTTTAGTGGGTTAATTAAACTAGAGAATTACCTCTTTACTGTTCATAATCACATTGTGAAAAATTGTGCAGGTATGTGTTTTTGTAATGCAATATAGTTTATGATGTTTATAGTGTAATAATATTAGAATATACTATTTTGTTAAAGTACCAGTTTAACATAAATTTATGTTACTATATATCTAGTGGTCTGGCACATATAGTATTTTAAGTGGCATGGTAGAAGCTCTGCTAGATTACCAGATATTTACATTTATGTATACATATATTAGGGTAGGGATTTCTGAAGCAAGTGCTTTTAATATCTCATGATGAACATTCATATTTGTCAGGAGTACTGGACCTTAGTATTCTGAATAAATTTCACATGATTTATAAATCTTGTTTAAGATGTTTAAACTTTGTTTAGTGGTAGTTTGTTAATGTACTAAGGATGGTCAGTCTTTGTAGTTAGATCATCAGTAAAGATGTTTTACTTTACTTAACTTGTAGGATCTCTCAGATTCTTATAAACTCTGAATTCCTTAAAAATTTTTATAGCTCATTTGATGAGTACAGTTCAGAACTTAAATCTGGAAGATTGGAGTGGAGTCCTGTGCATAAATCTGAGAAATTTTGGAGGGAAAATGCTGTGAGATTAAATGAGAAGAATTATGAACTCTTGAAGTAAGTTCTAAATTTCAGTTTACATTCTAATACCTGTTACTGTACAGCTTCACACACATGTTTTTGTCACTCTTTAAATGTTAGATATTCTGTGGTTTTAATTTGTATTTTCTTGCCCATTAATGGTGGTTGAATACCTTTTAATATGTTTATAGGTTGTGTGTATTGTATTTTTTCTAGGAGAGGAGCCTGTTGAATTTTTTTTTTTTTTCACTTTATTGGGTTGGTCAAAAAATTTGTTTAGTTTTTTCATGTGATGGCTCTTGAGGTGCTTAGGTGTCTTTAACTTCATTCAAAACAATTTTGTTAGATTGTATTGTGACAGCCGTCATATCAGCGTGCATTTAAAAATGCTTCAAAATTGGTGAATTTTTGTGTAACCATTTTAATATTGAAGATGGAAGATGATATGCAGCATTTTAGCATATTATGCTTTATTTTTTCAAGAAAGGTAAAAATACAACTGAAACAAAAAGAAAAGATTTGTGCAGTGTATGGAGAAGGTTCTGTGACTGATCAAGCATGTCAAAAGTGGTTTGCAAAGTTTCTTGGTACTATTGACATTTAGACCAAATAAATCTTTGCTGTAGAGCTATCTTATATATTGAAAGATGTTTAGTAGCAACCCTGATCTCTACCTACTAGAAGCCAATAGCAAGAAATAGGTAACATACTCAAAATACCCAAATCAATAAAGTTGTTGGTGAAAATGAAAAATGTGTCTTTTATTTTATGGAAAAAACTAAATGGACTTTTTAGCCAACATAATATAAGAGTTCCATATGTATTCTGAACATGAGTTCTTTGTACAGTGGAACCTAAGTTTTGATCTTAATTCATTCTAGAAGACTGTTTGAAAGGTGATTTGTTCAAAAACTGAATAATTTTTTTCCCATTAAAAATAAGATAAATTTAATTAAGCCATTCCAGATACCCAAATGATTCCTTGTTTTAACTTTTCTTATATAAAGTCCATGTCTAATGTACTGTTTAATCTATAGATAAAAACTTTAAAAAACAAAAAGGATGTGAAATATAAATGGAAACTTAACAAAAAGGAAATGAAATGTACATGAATATTGACATACACACTAGAACTTACCCTTAATGTTGAGAGCTATTGATGACTGAATATAGAGAGGGGGGATGGAGGGATGCTATTTTTTGGAAGGGGCATACCCTTCCATAATAACATCAGGTAGCTATTCTTCTGAGGTTCTTTTTCTCTTTTATTTCTTTGTTCCACTAGAACTTCCTTCAGTGATTCCTCTGTATCACTAAAAACCTATCCTATGATGTTTGTTTTTGTCTGCATTTTAACACTTGCCTGAAGTGAAACACTGCATTTTCATTAAACAAGTTTACCACATGGATTGCTACTTCTTTATCAGGGTAGTATTCACCAATAAAACTTTGTATTTCTCCCTATTTCCCAAGCATTTCCTTGATTAGTGAAGTAGGAATAGTCTCTCTTCCCTCCTCCTCCTCTGAAGAGAACTTTTCAGCTGCTGACCTTTCTCTGAAGGTCCTGGGGTTCCTTGGGGGTCAGCTCAGTGTGGTAATCCTCCACCAACTCTTCCACATCATCATTGTCCACTTCCAAGCCCATGAACTTGCCCAGAGACACAGTATCCTCCAAAACAGACACAAGGTCATCATCAAAGCCCTCACAATCTCTTTCAGCAACTAACTCAAGCCACAATTTCTTCTAGGCTGATTGCATATTACTTTGTCTATGAGCCTCAAGTAAGTGAGGATATTAAAATGTACATTGCAGGATTCCCTGAAGGTTAAATTAGTTTTGTAACCAAACTAGTGGGGTCCCACTGTCTCCTGCCCATAGGCAGTAACTCTGGAGACAGAGTCTGGTGGAAAGGAAAATAGAATTTTTATTTATTTATAGATGTACACAGATTTCTTGATGCCCACCCCCAAACCTCGCCACTGGAGGAATGAGCAGGCTGCTGTTGGGGTGGCTGCCCCAGCTTTGCATGTTGGAGTAGGGCGCAGGGCTTGTTTTCTGGCTGTGCTGCCTCCCCGGACCTGCCTTTCAGGATCTGCTGACCCAAATCTCCTCTCACTTCCCCATTACAATCCCCGCCTTTAACACTCTGGATATTTGTAATTTTACAAGGGCATATGGATGAAGGTGTCATTCTTCTCTAACTACTTCCTGCTGATCAGGGGGCATAGTCTTAACCTATTCCCTGGTCTAGAGGTCCCTAACAAAGGGGATCTGGAGTGGAGGGGAGCCTTCACACAAGGGAGAAGGGTCTTGCAAAGTCCAGGTCATTTGGTTATCCCTGGAAAATGGTGTGCATGATGTCCCGAGGATGGTATTACTGGATGTGTTGGCACCCTTGTCTTGTTCTCGAGGCAACAAATTTGGCAACATGGTTAGAAGGCTCAATCAGAACTATAACAACTAAATAACAAAGGTAGGGACTAATTCTGCAGTGTCTCTGATTAAGAAAAACTTCTTCCTTGGAGGAAGTTGTGCAAGGTGTGTCACACCCGTCGAAAGCCTTACTGCCTATTATACTGAACTTAAATTAGGCTAAGGGGAATATCCTGAGATTCCTCCCTTTAACACTTCTGGACCCTTTTCATCCAAACTATTAAGGCAGAAAAGAAAGCAGTTTTAAAACAAAGATGTAGTTTCAATTAAGATAGAAACTATCTATCCTAGCAAAGCTGATAGGCTGCCTCATACTTCACCAGCTCAACTGTTTAGTCCAACCAAATCATTGAATGCCAGGAGGTAGTGATGCAGGTAGACTTCTCAAGTGGGGCCTACACCCTTTCTGAGTCCACAAGACTGTCTTTTGAGAAGATGTTCAGTTACAAGGCCTTTGCTGAAATGATACTAAGCAGTGATAATTTGATATCATCAGGTTAAACCAGATCAGTTCTCACGTAAAAACAAACTTTGATGATAGTTCACTGCGCTAGAATCTGATGTTCACCTGACTGAGCATTGCGATTTTCTTTAAAACCTGATTCCTCTCCCCAAGACCACCCTCATTGTCCTCAAAAAGACTGCAGGTTTTCAATTTTGCCTCATTGTTTGCATAAAAACAAGAGCAGCATTGAACACATAGGCTTCTTAAAGTCTGCTTTGCTGGGACTTCCACAAGGAACTTTTAGGTTGACCCTTAGACAGCTGTTCAGGGCATAGAAGCTAAGCCACACAACTGCCATACAGCTTTGCCTGCAGTACCTGTATTTCTCAAGTCCTAGAGGTTCCCATCGTATCTTAAGGTTCCTCCTTGCCATCTTTCAGGAAAGCAACCTTTGTTCCCTCCTTGGAAAGACTGCCATGAACCACATGATGAAACAAGGTACTATGCCACTTCTCCAATCGGCTTTTGTTAGCTTCGAATCAATCTTAGTTCCTCAAGGCTTTCTGGTAACAACCGTAGCCCAGGCATGCGTCCTTTGGGCATGACACTCCAGTCAAAGCCTTGGTTATTAAAACCAGTCTTATTGGTTTCATGAAAAGGAAATTTTATATCATTACACATTAAGAATTCCAAATTCTAGAGGGATCAGGTAGGGAGAAAAATACAAAGAAAAGGGAAAATCCTTGTTCTTCCAATATTCACCAGAATTGCATTTCCATACTTTATATCTTTCATTACTTTACTTCCTAACCTAATGTGAGGTTTTAACCTTTAGGAACCGCAATTTCTTTTCAAAAATGAAAGAAAACAGAAATCCAAAGCAAAGACAGAATTTCTTCCCCCTGCCCCCTGCCAAAATAAAAGGGGACTAGTCTAAGAATCTTGATCTTGTTTCCCACCAACATGTCACACTAACTGGTCACACAGATGACCTTTCTCAGGTCCCCAATGGCACGAAGCCCCAAACGGCTAAGATATGTTCTTACCCCAGCCGAATTCTACCCGGCACCAATGGCATGAAGCCCCAATGGTAGAGGCATTCTCTCACCTACTAATGCATCAGCTCACCAAATAATCTTATGGCAGAGACATACTCCCTCACCCCAGCCGGCTCTAACCAACAGGAGATGAACTTTCTATGGTCCAAATGTCAGAAGCCCCAAATGGGAGAGATACATTCTCACGCCAACTGGTACCTCAGATGACCTTTATGAGGTCCAATGTTGCAAAGCCCCAAACAGCAGAGACAGAGGATTCCCAGTGTAAATAAAACAGTTAAGTTCCCCAGGTCCCCAAGAGATCAGAAAGCAAGAAATGAAACAAAACCTAAAGCAAAGAATAACTGAACACAAGCACTGAGATTTCTTTCCTTTAAAAAAAAAATTTGTACCCTTGCATGGTCTCTATAACCTTCACAAATCTTTTTTTTTTCTTTTCTATATGCTGTACAACTTTCTACACACCTTCTGCAACCTTCTTAGACCTTCTTACTCACTCAGGCATAGGCATAACCATAACTCACTTTCAATCCTTGTCCTTTTTAATAATGGAACAGACCACCCTCAAACTCGGTATCTGGCAACTAAAAATCCCTAAATTTGCAAACAGTTAAATAAAGGAACATTATCACTTTCCATTGGGGCCCACTCTCTTCTGAAAGAGAAATCTCAAATCTCCTTCCACAGTACAAGTCCAGTTTTGCTTTTCATCATCAACCACAACAGCAGGGTTTGAATTCTCATGGGGCGGTGCCTGTTTTATTTGTGTGTGGTAGAGTCAAGACTTAATTCCCGCAAGTGTCCCAGAAGAATGTGTTGTCAGTAAGATGTCATAGGGACCAGTTCGCCTGTCCCTATGGGTAGATAGACCTGCAATGAGCGAACTTGTGCAGAATGGTTAGTGTTTGCCCTAAATGTTTTACTTATTGCTTAATTTTCCACTCATTCTCCTTAATCTAGTGGGGGGGGTGGGGGGGGGGTGAGGAGCGGGGCACACCCAGAACTGAGATTTGGAAGGGTCTCTCATAAATTGTTTCAAAAGGGCTTATCTTAAGCCCAGTTCTAGGTGCTACCCTAACCTGGAGCAAAGCAATAGGAA